TATGCCTCTTATCCTTTTTTTTCCCAAATTTTATCAAACCCTAACCCTAAGAGCGTAAGTTTCCCTAAATAAATCTACCCATTTTTCACTCAAAATATCGAAATCCTTCACGGTTTTTGCAAAGATTTCAAAGGATTTCATCTCCAATCAACAATTTGTCCATACCTATCACTTCTTTTGTCTATTTTCCCATGTATTTTCAAATTTCCTTTAATTTCTTCGAATGATATATTTTCTTTTTAGATTTTTGCATCTAGATTGAACGTTTTTAGGTTTTTTCATCTAGTTGAATTTATTCGAATCTTATATTTTGTTTTTAGGTTTTTACATCTAGTTCAAATATTTAAAATGGACTGAAATTGATGGATTTTATATACAATGTACTTATTGTGTTTGCAGGCGTTTAATTTTTATGTGTGTCTAGAACCTTCAATTTTTTAAATGGTAATAAAATCAAAACTTACAACTAAACATCGTCGTACAAGTTTACCGTCTAAGAGTTAGACCAAAACCAAACCTCAACCTAAACCTATTTTACCTATTTTTTCGACATATGTTTTAATGAATCTAGAGTAAAAAACCAAATGACAAAGTTTGATATGTACAAAAAATTTACTATTAGGGATGAACGTGTTGCAGATTTTGAATTTATGTTTGATCTAAATTTTAAATTTTCGTACCTTGATCTTATGAAGCGATGAATTTTGTTTACCTTTCTTAAGTTTAAGCCACAATATTTTCCCACTTTAACCCAAAAATTTTTCCAATGTTCGTTGTCTTATTGATGAACCTACTAACACTATTATTGTTATAGAGTCTTATCTTATAGGGAAGACCTTTATGCTAGACGCTGAAATAATTTCCAGCCATCTAGGTCTAGAAAACACTGGTCTTGATAATAAGGATCAACCTATTACTGATTCTCCAGCCCCCGACTCTATTACTGCCCTAAACGCTCATGATTGTTTTCTCCATTTGATTATCACTTGGTGGTTTCAACCATCCAAATGTAAGTATTTTACCATTAGGTTTGTCGATACTTGGTGGATTCAATGCTTTCACACTAGCCAACACATCAATCTTGCTCTGATAATTTTTGTCGACCTAGTCTACATCATTCACAACTATCTCACCTTTATTTTCAACTCCTTTGACTACAGTTGCGTCCTAAACCATATATTTGTTAAGGAGAACATAGATTACTACATAGATAAGATTTATAGTTTATGTTTCGAAGGGATTATTTCAATCTCATCAACGATGAGTGGATTTCAAGTGCTTCACAGCCAGTTCTAGCACCTCGAGCGGCTCATAAGCTAGTTGCTTGAGTACCTTAAGGAGATGACTCTTTGGCATCACTTTTAGAGTTGATCACTTAGATGGAGGGTCACATTATGCGTTGTTTTGATTCAGTAAATGAGCGTATTGAGATCTTGGGATATCGGTTCATCTTGTTCAAGATGATGCCAAGAATGATGTTGATGGCGGTGACGATACACCGGAGGCTTAGTTTTATTCTATGGATTAGTTTGGATTATGTTGGATTATTTTGTTGTGGTTATGCAAATTTGGATATCATATATGGATATGTTGGATTATTTGCTTAATATGCTAGTATTTTGGATATGTTGGATTATTTGCTTAATATTTATGGATTTTGGATATTTTGATAAGCGTTCAATTTCTGAAAATAAATCACCTACCTCATATATTAGTTTTTCATATTTATTTATGGTTTGGTTCTAACACTCCAAATATTGCTTGTAAGCATCATTTATCATACCAATTTCTTTGAAAGTTTCTGATAACGAATCACCTACCTCATATTTATACTACATGAAAAACATTTAACTCTTAAAAAGATTTATACTGAATTAAAATAATATCAAAGTTTAAAATGAAATATAACCAATAAATAATTATTTATACATACATTTGTATTCACTTTAGATATTATCGGTTTTTTTAAGATTTCAAATCTTTCGAATTCAGATCATCAGTAAAATCAGAACGTCCAGTCGAACATCTCACACTCTTTTTCTATTGAGAGTCAAAGTCTTTAGAAATTTTATGCCCAATATTTTTAATCATTAGAGATTCCTTTAACGTAACTAATTAACTAGGAAATCGACGGAGACTAAATTGAAAGTTAAAAACTTAGCTCGAATTTTTTTAGAAACCATCATGTTTAGTCTCGATGTGGTCTTCAGAATTAACTTTAAGTTTTCTTTTACCAATAGGTTCTAATGAGGGAGAAAAATAATCACAATCACAATTAATAAATTGAGAGAAACTCAGTTTTTAATTCGACTTTCGGTTTCTTCCTTCAATGATGCAATACTTAATCCTTCTTCCATGTGTGATTTATTTTCTAAACTCTCATCTTTCAATGGAATGCTATGTAAATTAGTCTCTTCTGATATATTATTTAAAGCATCTCCTTTAATGATCGACTATGTATACCTTCTCCTTTTACTGAATCATCATCTTGTATTGAACTTTTAACATTACTCGATGTTAATATGCTCATTGATTTTTCAAATTGGTCATTTAATTTTTCAAACTGACCTTTTAATTTTTTGAATTTACCATTCATTATAGCAAATTCCTTTTCAATATTTTGCACCGAATGAATGAATGTCTCGAACTTGTGATCACTCTAATAAGGAGTTTTTATCTTTTCCTCATGTAAAACTTCAGTTTTTCCTATATGTATATAAAATAAATAAATAAAATATAACAATAATCTTAAATAATATATACCAACAAAAAAGAAATTCATCTCTATTATTAAAATTTCAGTTAATTACAATGAATGTACCTCGTTGTTTGTCTTATCCGAGTTCATGTTGATATGACGCTTACACTCTATCATATTAACTTGTTTTGAAGGCGCTGAGTTTAGATCCATCTTCTAAGTTAAAAACATAAAATCTAAGTCTGCATGTAATAGCATTAAAACAAAATTGTACAATTCAAACATATCATAACTGTACGCCTTACTAGAGTACTGGTACACATATCTAAAATAAATAACAGTGTGCAATTATTGTATCGGTACGCAATTAGTATCAATACTCAATTGCTCGTGTACTGGTACACGAGTCAGTGTATAGGTACAACCTGGGAGATTCAATATGAGAATTCATAATTGGATTTGAAAAATACGGTTCTAACATAGAAATTAGGGTTTAGTTATCGGATGGAATTAGGGTTATAGTGTGGGAATTATAGTATTGAATTAGGGAATTAGGGTTCTACAATTGGCTTAATTAGATGGCACCCACCGATGATGGCTTGGACGGTTACCTAAGTTCGAAACAAAATACAAAAAATAAAGATTACCTTTTGGATTGCTTGCACGAACAGCAGTGAACGACGACCACGTCGGGAGGGAGGAACGGCAACAACTATCTCACTGGCGAAAGATGTTACCGGCGGGAGCTTCAAAACTATTAAAAAAAATTAAGGTTTTTTTAATTTAGGGTTTAGGTTTGATCTAATTATTATTAAAAATAAGATTATAAAAAACAATATAATTAATATTTTGTTTTAAATAATTTACATTTAGATTTTTAACTAATTTATAATATATATTATACATTGAATACTTTATAATTTTAAAGCTTTATAATTTTAAAGCTTTATAAATTAAATTAATGGCGTTCATCGTTAGTAGCGTTCATTGTGCTCGTCGAGCGTTGCAAAATTTTCCTTTCTAAAATTTATTAAAAATATCTTTTATTAAACCTGGTAAGCTATGGGAGATTATAATTATGCTTAACTACTTTTTCTTATTATCAGTTCCTAAAAATTATTAAAAAAAATCTTTTATTAAAGTAATTATTAATGATTCTCCAATATGTTGTTTCCAAATTATATGGAGTATTATTATTTTTTTCAAATAAATAATAATCAAAAGTTGTTCTAGAATTAAACGATATTATAAATTTTCTTCTTTATTGAAAAATTATATGATAAGTTTGATTTGATTTGATTTTGATTTTAATTTTAAAATTTTAAAAAATTTAAATCCAATGTTTAATTTGGTCCATATAAAAATAAATAAATACATTTGTTCATAAAATATATATAATTAAATTAAAATTAGTATACATTAATCGAACTAAAATCAAAATTTTCGTGTGTATATATATATAGAAAATAACTGTTGTACGATTCTATTATAAATGCGTACAAGGCTCTACACATTTTAATAAAATTAATTCGATGATTCGGTTCTACTTGTAATTTTATAAGTTTGACTTGATTTGAAAAAAATAAAGTAAGATTAATTGATTTAAATAATTTAAATTTTCTAATAATTAATTGATTAATTTTTAAATTCAAGTCTCCCACAAATCTACATTATATATATATAACACATATGAAAATCATATAGTGTGTAACAAATTTCAAATAGAAACTCAATTAATTTAAAGAATGTCGCTTAAATTAAAATGAATCAGTACACATTATAAATATTTATAAATAAAAATTTAAATAATTTTACTTGATTCGATTGAAATTTTATATATTCAACGTGACTAAAAAATATCTTAAATAAAATCTAAATTATAAAATAATATTTATCAACTCAAATTAATTTGAAAAAGACGGGATAGTGCGCAAACCCTGTTAGCTTTGGTAACTTTGCTCGGCATGCAAGGATTTCAAGATGCAAATTCACTGTTAAAAGGCCAAAACATCTGATTATCCAAAACTCTCTTTCACTTTAGTTTGACCTTTTCTACTTGCTTTCTTTAACTTCAATTCAAACGATTGAAACTGCACACAAGAGATTCAATACTCACTTTTCCATCGAGTCTTTCTTTAGCCACTTGGATCTCATTTTTTTACACTGTTATCTTCATCAAGTTAACCCAACATGCAATTGGTTCTTCTTTAGTTGATGTGAGCTCTAAGATTTCTCTTCCTTTTCCTCTAAAAGAACCTTCTTTTTGATCTGGGTTCTTCTCTTTGTGTTGAGTTTCGTTTCAATGGAAACGAAGTCTGGTAAAAGAAAGGCAAAGGAGACAATGGGTTTACAAGGTTATGTCTTGAGGGATAACCCTAAGAAATCTTGGAAATCTTTGGGCTCTAAGGTTGACGATATTGGCTCGACCCTTGGGTTCCAGTGCAAAGCTTGCGGCAAACAATTCGAGTCAATGAAAGCTCTGTTTGGTCATATGAGGCATCATTCTGCAAAAGAAAGGAAACAAGTTAACTGTCAAGAATGTGGCAGAAAGTTTAAGTCTTTGAAGGCCTTCACTGTTCATATGAGATTGCACCCTTTGAAGGGATTAACAGTGAGGAGAAAGAGATCGCAAAGATTGAGGTACAGTAACAATGGTCTAAATGAATCTTATGGTTTACTCGAAATTGATCAAGAGGTTGAAGAAGCTGCTCTGTGTTTGATAATGTTGTCTAGGGGAATCAAGAATCGGACCGAATTCAATTGTTTTTGGGAGTCTTGTGATGATAAAGAAATTTTGCAGAGTCCTTTTGGTTATGGGGATGACTTTGATTCATACGCCTCTGGTTCTATGAATGATGAATCTCGATTCGAATATTGTGAAACCGAGATCGAGGGAAGAATTTCCGGTGAAGTGATGAAATTGGGGTGCAATGGGGTTGAACCAGGGAAGGATTTGATGGAAGGATTGGAATTAACTGGTTTAGGGTCCACAAAATCTAGTTCTTGCAAAGATGTCATGTTCGATGGTCGTGATTCGAAACCGGGAGGGGATGCTTCGAACAAGTTAATAAGTACTCCATTGAATTCTGAGATGTCTGATGATTCCCAGAACAAGAACAGATTCAAGTGCAGGATCTGCAGCAAGACTTTCAAATCTCACCAGGCACTTGGAGGTCATCAAACAATCCACAGAAAGAGTAATACCTGTTCCGTAGAGCCGGTCGAAGATCAAGAAATGAATGAGGTGACTAGTTCTGTATCAGGAGTAGAGTACAAGGCGCACAAATGCCTAATCTGCTTGAAGGTTTTCAGATCGGGGCGAGCTTTGGGTGGTCACAAGAAGTCTCACATGTCGAAAAAACAGCCGGCGGAGCTGCTAGACCATTGTAACATATCTTCTGATGTTATTGATCTTAATGTACCAGTTATACACAATGAAGAGGCCAAAGGTGACACCGGATTTAAGTCACGCCGTCTTGGAACGGACTGCAAGAGTGGGCTTTACTGAGCCTAGTTGCTAACTGATGAAAGGCAATGCCGAAACCGTTACCATTGGCTTTTCTTCTGGTTTCCAATGGTAACTCACTTCCAGCTTACTTGTTTCAACTGATGCTTGGTATCGTAAAAGTTCCATTGATACAATTTCCGTTTCGTAAATTTTGGTAGTAGCAGCAGCATTGCTCTCTATATCTTGATTGAATGTTCTCATTCTTTTGTTTCATACATTTGAAGAATAGAAGAAAAATGTGTGAGATATATTCTTTTCTGCTGAATATACAACATATGAAACGAAAGCAATTTTACTTGTTAATCATCTGCTATGACAGAGGCTTTATATTCGATTTTGTTTGATGAGACTGATACCGATATCCATGTCGGATATGGATTGGAATCAGCATAGCAAGAGTAACATAGAAAGGAAGAAGGGTATAAAAAATGGAGGAAGTCTGTGAGATTAGAAAAGGAAACACGTTAGTGATGATGGTGAATGCCATGTGCATGGCCTTTCAGAGTTTTGTTGTTACAATAACATGCTGTTTGTGGCTTTATTGATTGGGTTTCAAGGGATCTGTGTGGTAAAATCTACCTGTTTCCACCACGTCAGATTTCAAAGCAATGGAGTAGAAATGAAAATAGAGTAATATGCATCACAACTCTCATCAAGTGTACTGAGTATATGCACTTATTGCATCTGCCCCAAACACAACACTCACTCTTGCGTGGGGTCTAAGGAGGGGAACGGCTGGGGCTTCCTAAAAATTTTCGTTGTGTCTAAATATGATGTTTAGATTTGATTAAGTGGAAGTTTGGATTTGATTTTATTTGAAAATCTGTTTGAGATGTGAATTTAAAGATATATAATTTCATTTTTTTTTTAAATAAGATAGTAATATAAAAAACTTGAGCCCCACCCAAGTCGATAACAAATATCATTTTAAATAACATTATAATACAAAAGCCGAGTCTCAGTAATAAAATTTTAATGGGTATACTATGCCATGGTCACTAATGTTTAGGTTAGTTCGTTTTTACCACTGATGTTTGAAAAGTCACAAATCGGTCACTAACGTTATCGTTTGTTACAAAATGGTCATTCGACATTAACAGTCGTTAACAAATCGTTATTGCAGTAGCGGAATGCTGACGTGGCATTTTAAACCAACTGACTCAGTATGTTTGACTGAACGTTCTTCTTCTTTTTCTTCTTACCAGTTGACTCAGCATGTTTGACTGAACGTTTGACTCCTCCTCCTCCTCCTCCTCCTCCTCCTCCTCCTCCTCCTCCTCCTCCTCCTCCTCCTCCTCCTCCTGTTTCAATTCCATCTCTACTTTATTAGCATGGTATCGGATGGATTCAAGGTCCAAGTTTATCGATCAACGATGTCCAATCAACTTCTATTTCCATCAATCTCTATCTTTCCCTCTCAAGTTCTTTCTTGCTGTTATTACGACCGTCTACACTTTTTCGCAATTGAATGGAACGTGACAACAAAGAAGACCTCAATTTTTAAGTAGAAATGTTTAGAGATGGAACAGTAGCATATGATTGCAATTCGCCCTTCAATGTTTCAATTTTCAGTATAAATTTTTCGATGCTTCCTTCTCAGTCGTATCAAAATGTTCTTCTCCATTACCACCATTGTTGGAATGCTCAAATGGTATTATTTCATTCTTCGAATGCTCATGAGGATATTCAATTTCTGAATTTTCTTTCTCGAGTTTGTATCGTTGTACCTGTAGAAGTTTATAGAACATCAAAATATAGCCTAAGTTATAATATCTTCCCATTCGAAAGGGGTCAAAAATATTATTACCAGATGGTTTGACTGCTCAATTTTTGCTGCTTGCTCCTTACAAATACTTTCAAATGTTTTCTCGCTTTTGATGGCTTCTTACAAATCCCTTGTTACAACCTGAAATTAAAGCAACAAAACTAATAACTACACAACAACGACCAGATCATAAAAGAGAACATGTTTTAACAAATTAACATATTTAGTTTTCTTATCAACTGCTACAATCTCTGTCTGCAAGCTATCCCGAACCCTACCAGATCATGGGTTCCTTTTTTCATGTTTGGGATTCTTTCGTGATTTCATAGTTTCAACTATTTAAAGACGACGAAGAAGAAGAATCAAACGGTCGGTCAAACATACTGAGTCAGTTGGTTTAACGTGCCACTTCAGCACTATGTTACTGTAGTAACGATTTGTTAACCACTTTTAACATGAGTGACCATTTCGTAACAAACGACAACGTTAGTGACTGATTTGTGACTTTTCAAACATTAGTGATAAAAACGAACACTAACCCAAACATTAGTGACTATTAACGTAGTTTACCCAAATTTAAAAATAAAAAACTTTATAGAACATTGTTTTCGTATTATGGTATAATTCTTATTTTGTCTAATATATAATTTCTTTTCTCAGCTACTCTTATATTATCATTTTGTTCTTACTTAATTCTTATATTATTAAAAAAATTCTGATACTATTATTTTGTCTTACATGCTATTCTAATGATATCTTATGTAAAAGAGAAATTTATTTAAAAAAAAATATTTCTTATGTAAAAGAGAAATTTATTTAAAAAAAATATTTAAAAGGGAATAGTAGAATGAGACATTAAATTTTTTAAGTAAGATTATAAGTTTGAATTTTGATATTTGAAGATAGAATAAATTTGTTTAAGAGGGTTGTCCCATAATGAGTTTTATATAATTTGATCTAAAATAATCGATCAATAAATTGAATACAAATAGTTAAATCTAAAAAATTAAAATGATTAATAAAAATAAAATTTAAAAGGTTTTGTTTTTAATTTTTCAGATTTTTTATTTTTTAAATTGCAATTATGGTTAATTTAGTTAAAGAGTTTTTAAAAAATCCTTTAAAAGGTAAAAAAAATATGGCTTTTAATTTAGTTAAACTCATAACTTTTAGAGAAAACAATATTTCATTTAATCGTTGAGTCTACTTGATAATTTTATAAATAAATATATTTTTAATTATTCGCTGACATATTCAACTATATATTCATGAATGTATTCATTTAATATTCATTTATACTAAATAAAAGTGTCTACAAACACTATACAAACAAATATGAACATACAAAATTTTAAATAAAAAAATATGATATTCATCCGATTCAAAATTTTGGATATTTAAAATTTTAGATAACTAAAATAATAATATGTATCTCATTCAATAAAATCAAATATCCAAATTTTAATATAGGATATTCGATTCCAAATATAAAATTTAATTTTATAAAATATTAGTTTTAAATTTTATATTTTTTAACTTTATGCAACTTGATAAAGGATGCGACAACGGATGATGATGATAATGATGATTGATAGGTAGTTGTCCTACGAACCCTCCTAGCTTCTAGGCAAACTCGATAATCGGCTCTAACCAACCCTCCTAATCGCAATGAAAAGGCAAACCAGAGTATGAAAATCTTTCTCACAAAGAACTTGAAAAAACTTAATAAAAAGAATGCTTCGAATACACAAGGCAATCAACACTTGTAAAAATAAAATCTCGTTGTATTATTAATCAAAGAAATATGCTTTTCAAAGTTGAATGAAATCTCCTTTATATAGGTGAGGAGTTGTGCCTTCAAAGCATTCTTTTTATTAAGTTATTTCAAGTTCTTTGTGTGAGAGATCTTCACACTCCGGTTTGTCTTCTCATTGCGATTAGAAGGGCTGGTTAGAGCCGATTATCGTGTTTGCCTAGTCAATTGTGGCTAGGAGGGTTCGTAGGTCAACTATTTATCAATCATCATTATCATCATCATCATCCATTGTCACATACTTTATCAATTGGTATCATATTTAGGCCGACTCTTGGAAAGAATCAAGCAATCTTGCTTGTTCTTGCACACAAAACTGCCAAGGTACCCCCAACGGAGCTAGTTCGCAAAGATTCATAATTTTTATGATGGTAACATACAACGACACTTCTCAGGCTTTTAAAGACCTCATAGCTTCTATTAAATGAGATATAAATATGCTTAAGTCTATTAACCAACAAATGGTTGCACAAATAACTCAAATTGATGATCTTCTCGGAAGACGACAACAAGAAAATAACAATGCCGACTTTCAACCAACAAAAGCTCCACAAAACCTGATACAAACAAAAGAAATCTTGAAAGATCAAATGAAAATTTGTGACGATGTAGGGAAATAAAAAAAAGGCTGAGAAAGAGGCAAAAGAGGTCATTAGTCATAAAAGCCAAAAAAAATCATGACCTACGGGTCGTGAGTGAACCTAATTGTGAGAAGAAAATAGTGACTCAAAGTCTATGTTTGAGCACAAAAGAATTGAGAGAGAACCTTCTTCAATAACATTGTATCCTTGTTCGCTTTAGGGAATCAATTCTTTCGATTTCTAATATTAACAAGGATTTGTCTAGTGTATTTTCATCTCATTTATAGGATTTTCGATAAGTATTAGGTGACCCTCCTAACGGATTATCACTTGAAAGCCCTAATCATGGTGCCATATCAGTGACGAGTCATGATATACAAGAGTCCAAAGATTTATGGACGAATCCTTTTGAGGAGAGGATGAATGATACATGCACCAAAACCCATAATGACAAAGCCTTTGTCTTTGGACTAATGATTCTACTTGAATCTACTAGAAGAACAAAGTCCCAAAGATTCAAAGCACATCTAATGGATTCGAGGTCAAATCCTTTTGAAGAGAGGGAGGTTGATACATGCATCACAAGGCTCACATTAAAGGAAGATAGACTAGCACTTCCAATTGATCTACACGAACAAGCCTTGGAAAAGAACAATAACAGAAAAACAGACTTACGACTACTTTTCGAATAGGATCCTGATCTTATTCGGTCAACATTTATTCTAGAGATATGATCGACTATCTCTTAGCTTTCCATCTATTTTTGAATCGCATCAATTCAATATAAGAAATTCAAAATACATCCATTTTATTAAAGACAACGCATGCAGAAATTCTTATA